GGGGGGGGGGATGTAGATCCAGCGGAAGCAGCCTGAGGCTAGAACCGAGAATGAAGGCTGAGGAAAGGGAAGAAGAGTAAGGCCACACAGTTTCCGAGGTTGGCCAGAGTGTGGGTACAGGAGAGGTAGGAAAGAGGAATCAGGAACAGGAAGCACTAAAGGCACACACGGACCCCCACACTGACTTGTGCTGACATACACAGCTGCACAGACACCTGCTGACATAACAAGACCCAGTTATATGGGCACATGCAAACCCACACCCAGAAATCTGGATCTTTTTCACTTTTCTTTGGCTGCACCTAGGCTAGCACCTAGGGCTAGCTAGGGAATGCTGGGAGCTCTTGGGAGTAGGCATGGGGTCCAGCAAGGCCACCCACCTGTCAGGGCCTAGGTACCAGAAGAGGCAACAGCAGTATCTTCCCTGAACTCAGGATTAGGAAGGAGGAGGTGAGCAAGGGAAGCCAAGGTATTGGAGTCAGGGGAGGCTCTTTGTGTAAGGATGCCCAAGTTCAAGGACAACTGTTAGCATGCAGGCAAGGGGGACAGGAGTGCCAGCAGTGTGGGGTGTCAGAGCAAGTGTGACCTGCAAGAGCATAAGCCTGTGTGGGCCCATGTGACTGCGTGTGGCCATGTGACTTTGTGCGCTTGTGTGTGACCCTGTGTGTGTGCCTGCCTGTGTGCCACTACATGAGACCACGTGACACTGAGGCCGCTGTGCACCATGTGACTGAGAGTGTGTCTGGATGGCTGCATATGTGACCCTGCATATGTGGGAGGTGAGTTCCAATACCAGGGTCGGTAGACAGCTTATCCTGTGAGAGGACACCAGGCCCAGTGATTTCTGAGAGCCTAGGGGCAACCCTGAAAGGGCTAGAGGCTGCATTGTGAAGGGTATGCTTTTACTTTACGATCCTGAGATTGTGAGATCCATCTTGTACTTTGGGAACAACTGCAGTTACTGGCATGAACAATGTCCACCTGCAGCTTGTCTCTAATAACGTGTCCCCTAGTGAATGCATTGGCAGTCTTCCTAGTCCCCTAATGGGGACTTGAGAAGGTCCCCAGAAAGGTTAGGGCATGGAGAGAAAAGAATGTGGATCAAAGTAGGACCCAGGATAAAGAAAGTAGTGGGTGGAGGTACATGAGTTCAAGCTGCAAGGGTAGGGATCAAGTCCAGTGAGTGGTCAGCTGGGAGATGATGGAGAAGTACTGGTGATGGCCAGAGATAGATGCTGGCTAGGTAGAAGTCGCTAAGGTTTTGTTGGTACACCTATGGAGTCAGAGGGACAGCATCAAGTCTGGTAGCAGATTTTAGGGTCTGAAGGCGGCTCCGGGGACCCCGAAGAGGAAGGACCGTCGGGGTCTCTGGACTGGAGGCCCTGGCTTTGTGCGCGGCGGGTCTGCAGTGTGTTGCATAATCAGGGAAAACTGCTGAAGTGGGGAGAACCCGAGGGGGAGGGGAAGGGGGAGGAGGAAGAGAGGAGCGCCGCCCCTCCCCCCTGACCTTGAGGCTCGCTGAAGGGGGGCAGCCGCGCCCGAAGATGCTTCTCTCTCTCCTCCCCGCGCGGGGGCGGGGCGCTTGGGCGGCGAGGGAGGAGCCCTGCCTGGCCCTGTCTCATCCTCTGCTGTCTCTCTTCTCTCCTCTCTTCCCCTCCCCACGATCTCCATCCTCTCTGCCCTGTGGTCCCCGGCCCCTTCTCCTTTGTCCTAATTTCTGTTCGCTTTCCTTCCGGACCCCAACGTCTCCCGCTGTGTCTTCTCGGTCTCCCGCCGCTCGCTTTGCGTGTGTCTTGCCCGCTGCTTGGTTCCCCTCCCGTTGTCTGTCTGTCCGCCTCCGCCCGCAGGATACCTCAGTGACTACGTGGGGCCTGCGTCTGTCTACGATGGCGACGCTGAGGCGGCGTTACTCAAAGGGCCATCCCCGGAGCCTATGTATGCTGCGGCTGTGCGCGGAGAGCTGGGTCCCGCGGCCTCTGGCTCAGCACCGCCGCCCACCCCTCGCCCAGAGCTGGCTACTGCTGCTGGCGGCTACATCAACGGCGACGCGGCGGTCAGCGAAGGCTACGCGGCTGACGCCTTCTTCATCACTGATGGGCGCTCACGCCGTAAGGCTGCTAATGCCAATGCTGCCGCGGCCCCCTCCACAGCCTCGGTGGCGGCCCCCGACAGCGACAGTGGAGGTGGGGGCGGGCCGGGCACGCGAGGCTCTGGATCAGGGTCCGCTAGTCGGGGTGGCACGCGCGTGGGGGCGGGCACCGAGGCGCGTGCGGGGCCAGGAGCCACGGGCGCTGGTGGCCGGCACGCGTGCGGTGAGTGCGGCAAAACTTACGCCACGTCGTCGAACCTGAGCCGCCACAAGCAAACGCACCGCAGCTTGGACAGCCAGCTGGCAAGGCGTTGCCCAACGTGTGGCAAGGTGTACGTGTCCATGCCGGCCATGGCTATGCACCTGCTCACGCACGATCTACGCCACAAGTGCGGCGTGTGCGGCAAAGCCTTCTCGCGGCCCTGGCTGCTGCAGGGCCATATGCGCTCTCACACGGGCGAGAAACCCTTCGGCTGTGCGCACTGCGGCAAGGCCTTCGCAGACCGCTCCAACCTGCGCGCACACATGCAGACGCACTCCGCCTTCAAGCACTTCCAGTGCAAGCGCTGCAAGAAGAGCTTCGCGCTCAAGTCTTATCTCAACAAGCACTACGAGTCAGCCTGCTTCAAGGGCGGCGCCGGTGGCCCCGCAACCCCTGCGCCGCCGCAGCTCAGCCCGGTTCAAGCCTAGGGCAGCGGGGCCTCCGCCAGCCAGGTCGGCTCTCAGCAATACGGGCCCCCCAGGGAAGTCTCCGCTGGCGTCAGGGCGGAGGGGCTGGAGGGCGGGCCCCTCCTTACAGCAATAGGGGTAGGGAGCCGGCCCCATCCCGCCCCGCTCGCCAGGAGCCTTGCCAGCCCCTTCAAGCAATAGGGTCCCGAGGGGAGACCCACCCCGATACCCCTCCCCTCTCCTCCAGGGTGCCCCAGGCTTTCTCCCAGCAATAGGGTCTACCAGACCCAGAACCGAACCTCATCTCTTAGTTGGGTCTCTGAAGACAGGGGTGAGGTGAGGTAAGGAGCGCCCTCCTCCCTCCTCTGCGCCCCTGGATCGCGTTGCAGAGACTCAGGTCTTCCCCACCCCTTCCCAAGCCTTCCAGGCCAAGCCTTCAGCCCGGCGTCCAGGGAGTCAGCTCCACCCGGGCAGCTGGCCGGAGGAGGAGCAGGAGAGCAGGCGGGCCACAGAGGCGTTCTGTTCATCAGGCTTTGTAGACCTCCCGGGAGTGCTAGACGATTTGGGGATGGGGAGGGGCGCGGACGGCGGCAACCCTCTCCCTCGGGTTCTTTCTGGGGCCTCAGTCCGAGCCTCCCTCCTACCCTCGCCTCGCATCCTCTGCCAAATCCGAATTCTTCCAGCCCGGCTTCCTGGGCTCTGTCCTCCATAACGAATAATAATGACGCATATCGGAATCGCATGAACTTATCCGACCTACTCAGACCCCGATCCCACCCTGCCCCGGGGCCCCCTCCCTCGCTCCCCAGGCTTCGGGTGTTGGAGGACGGATACCCGGGCCGGCAGGCTGGCGTGCCACTGCCCTCTACACACCTCTGTATTTGCTTTGCGGGTAAAGCCCCCTGGGGGGGTTGCGGACGCGTCGGGTTTCTTTCTTTCTGTATTTATACGTTTTATTTATGAACGGATTGCACTCGGGTCAGGGAGGGGGCGCCGAACCCTCATTCTTCCCACCGACGCCCGGGGCTTAGGTTGTCCAGGACCACTTCCTCTGCCCCTGAGCTTTGCCTCACAGAGGCCGGCCCTTTCCCGGAGGCCAGGCCCAGCCCCCACTCGGTTGCCAACTTTCACCCGTCTATGCCAAAGCCTCGGCGGTGACCCTACCCCAAGGGCCCGCCCCATTGGCCGCCGCCTTTGTGACATCACTGCATGCAGTCCCACCCTTCTTCCCAACCCTTCCCGGGGCTGCCCGCTCCCCTTCCTCTTAGTTAGTCCGATGCAGACTATAGAGCAATAATGCGCACTGCATGTGAAGCTGCCGCAGCCTCTAGAGTTACTGAGAATCAGGTATCCCCTGCCCTACCCATCCCATAGGCCCCTAGATCAGGGATGCTGCGCGGGGCCGGCCACGCAGACTTTCTTTCCCCATTCCCTACCCCAGGGCAGAGCCCGGCAGGCGTCATGGTTCCAGAGGCTGGAATGGAATGGTATCAACCACAGCCTCTCTGTCAGTCCTTCATCACTCACCGACCCATCACTGGGTACCTACGATATGTCAGGCCCTTTCCTGAATCAATCAGAGATGTGGCTACCTTCGGGGAGGTGCCTGTCAGTGACGGGCCCAACAAGCATGGGTAGGCCAGGGTGGAAGACAGTTGCAGAGGGCTGGATCCCTGGGCCCATAGGGCCTCTCCTACCCACCTCAGTCCTCGTTTATGCTGGATGTAGTCAGGCCCTGCCTTTGACTTGGGCCTTATGTTCCCAGCTCAAGTTGGACAGGCCCCAGGGTCTCGGGGCCCAGCTTCACCAGAGCCACCCATACAGGTACCCATTTTCTGATTCCCTGAGATACGAGGCTCTGCTGTCTCTGTGCCGCTAAGGTGCAACAAGCTGGAGTATATGGTATGGCCAGCCTCATCCCAGCACCAAGCTTGGCTACCCTCCTGGTGCGGACCTGCAGGCCTAGCATAGCAGTGCCCATATCCAATCCCCTTAACTCCACCTGGCGAAATGCCCACAGTTCCTAGCCTGGGCCTGCCAGCCTGTGCCGCATGCACACGCACACAGAGGCGCCCACCCTGCCCCACTCCTTACTCCTGTCTACCTACCTATGGAGAAGGCTGGAAGGGCTGTGGGCCCGCCAGGATCTCCCGCTTCGCCCACACCCTGCCGCCGTGGAAAGCCATGGGCCCCCTCCCGCCCCCATAACTAAGCAGCACAATAACCGACTTAGCGAATTCAGGTAGAAGGAACGTTTAGGTAGCACCTATTTTGTACTGATTCTACAAGTAGGGCCCGAGGTGCGGGGGGCCCTCGGGTGGGGGCTGTGGCTGCCGGCCCGCCCCGCCCCCACCCCCCGCCTGCGCCCCGCCACCTTGTACATACTCCTGGCCCGCAACAGGCCGGGATTTTTACTCGGGCCGTGTCCCTCTTCCGCCCCCGTTTGGGGCCGGGCCGGCCGGACAGACGGACGGACGGACAGACCTCCTTCCTAAGCACAATAGCACCAGCTCCTCGGAGCGCCGCACCTCCACGAGGAGAATAAATGCCACTCTTGATAGAATTTGGAGTGTTGACTGACGTGTCCTGTTGGGGTGCCATTAGGGGTATCTGAGGGTGTCTGAAGGGAGAATTTCCAGTTCTGAAAGCTCAGACCAGGGTTGGGAATTGCAAGTGAAGCACCGGCCTTGGCCTTTTCGCTTACCGGAAATGGTCTGCTTTCTAGCTGGACCAGAGGAGTACCTCTCTGAAGGCAAAGCCATTGGCAATTCCCCTGAGACAAGCGAAACTACTCTGTCTCAGGTATTCAGGGCGTTCATAGCTTCTAGCCCAAAGTCAGGTCTTGCCCAAGCTGACTTAGAATGGCTAAAATGTACAGCAAGGCCAGACGGTAGTGGCGCTCGCCTTTAATCCCAGCACTCAGGAAGGCAGAGGCAGGCGGATGTCTGTGAGTTCCAGGCCAGCCTGATCTGCAGAGTGAGAAACCCTGTCTTGAAAAACAAACAAAAAACAAAGAAATACAGAGTGGAGCTGCAGTCTCTCTCCTGGTCTGGGCGGCCACTACTCTTTTCTCCTTAGTACTTCTGCAGCTGCACCAACAGCCGCGCACTCCTCATCCTCAGCAATCCTCCGGACTGGTGTTGGAGAAAATGGGACAGGAGAGTTTTCCGGGTCTAGCCCCGCCCTTGGAGGACTGCTGCTCTCAATCAGATCACTAAACGGCGGGAGTGTGCCGCTGTACTGCTAGCCGGCAGCACAGTTGGAAGATTCCCAGGGGCAGTAGCATGCCACAGCCACCATAGCCCTCAGGCCCTAGACAAGTTGAGTTGTAGGAGGCAAGGCTGTGCTGGGTAGAGAGATCCGCAGGCACGGGGTGGGGGGGGGGGGAGGTCACCCAGCGATGACCCCTGGCAAGCAGGTAAGCAGGTGTGAGTTGAGTCGCTCAAATACTTTGCATACATCTGGTCAAACTAGGTCAATCTTAGGTCAGAGTCAGCCCAACTTCCTACATCCTGGCAAGAGCAGGGGCCTGACCCGCTCATCCATCCACTGTCAAAAAGGGAGAGAAGGATGGGCAGCAGGTCATGGCCTATGTGCCAGCGGTGTGGAGAACATTGCCCTGGCGGAGGGCACACCCTGAGAGGCTGGGACAGCCGTAACAACAGGAGTGATGGCACATCTGGCACTAGGAGAAGTTCCTAGCCAGGCTCCCTGTAGAAGGATCTTAGCTGTCACTGTCTCTGACTGGGAAGAGATAACTTCCTGTTTACAAAACAGAAACCTGAGGCTCAGGGGTGAGAAAAAGAGCTCGCATAAGGATAAAGAGCCTTTACAGAGCCCTGTCTCATTATTCCGCACACCCAAACACCACTTTGGCAGACAGCAGAGACATGCAGCAAAGTCTCTTATCTGCCCACTTCCAGAGGGCGCCATAGTTTCAGGGTCCTGGTTGTTCCTGTTCTTTTAGGGTGGTGGGCCAGAAAGATGGAAACAACACCCTGGAGGGCTGAGATGAGCCTAAGTCTTTATTGCTGTAAACTTTCCCCAGCAGATTTCCTTGACCTGCTTGTGGTCCCAGGGTGCTGGGGGTCAGTCTGAAGCTATCTGTAACTTCCCAAACCCTGCTGTACTCTGAGTTCATCAGGCTTGCAAAGCTCCTTCTTACTCCAAGGCCTAAACCCCTTTTGTTGCCACCTCCAGCAGGGAGATCTGTCTGCATCATGGTTTCCTTTCCAGTTCCTCCATCCACACCAATTTCCCAGCCAACCTCACCTGTAGTTTTTCTTTTCTGCTGGCACCCTGGGTCATGCTTCATTCTAGATTTTGATAGTGAAGCTGCTGCACCAGGCAATCCCCCTCTCAGTCATCCATTCCAGTCTTTTCTCCCCGAATCAGGCCTGGCACTCTGATATAGGTCCCAACTCTTTGCCACAGGACTCCATCATTTCACTTCCATGGCCTCTTTGCAGGTTGGCAGCTTTAAGCCTGGATGTCAATGAAGAGCTGCCTCCAAGGAAATCTTGCATTATATTAGATGGTGTGCATTCATCTCTGGCCTGAGTGGCAGCCTGAGCCTCAACCCCCCACTTTTAGTCCCTGGTTTTCATGCTGAAAGTTGGTGTAGCCAGAGTACTATCCCAGGAACATGTGGATGCCTCATGTTTACTGACCGGGGGAGTGGGGAAGGGATGGTAGAGCTCACATGACTCACATTTCAGGTTCTCAAGGAGACACTGTCTTTCACTCTGCCTCCTTTTGGGTTAGTATTTGCAAAGATCTAGCCCTGCCTTAGCCAGGTCCAGCTGAAAGGCATGCTGGGCCAGCAACAAAGGAGTGCTCTGGAAGACTGAGGAGGTCAGGTTGGCTCTAATCCACAAAAGTCCATGTCCTGGGCTCCTTTCTGTATGCACTACAGGAAGACACCTGCAAGGTAGCGTCGGTTGTTCATCATGGTATGTGGCATGAACAGAGAGAGACAAGAGGATACTATAGACGTGGGGTGACCTCAATACACAGGCTGGTGGCACCCTGTAGGAGAGGCTACCAGCCCCAGGGTGAGCACTTGCTTATTCTATGGAGGAGCTTCTTGATCCTACTATCCACAGAAGAGCAAGTCGCTATTCTCCTTGGTCCTTATAGCGTGTCTAAAGGAAATCAACTGTTTACCGAGGTCATACACTGCGATGTCTAATTCAGGCGGGTTGCACGTCCGCGACCCAGGTGTGGGATGGGGTGTGGGGCGGTGGAGGAAGAGGTTATGGTGATTAATGGGTTGATTCATTTACCAAACAACTGGGCGGTTGCACAGACTTGCTGTGATACTAGTCTGGGTATTTCTCCAGCTTGATCCTTTGACCGGGTATGCCCTCCAAGGTCCATTTAAAGTGGTTCCTGCCGAGCAGCTAGGGATCGCTTAGAGAACGTCGGTGCCAGCCAGGGCTGTTAGCGCAGCCAGTTGTGCTCAGAACACGGATCTGAGATCTCAAGACGTCAGTGTACGCACAGTTTCATAAATGACCCACACCCAAACCGCTGCTGGGTAGAGGGATGACGAAACTATGTGTTTTCAGAAGTAGGACAAGGGGCAGGCAAGAGGTCAGGGGAAGTGCGCAGCTGCCAGGGAATCGGGAGCCGGTGCAATCCTCGGCGGTCCTTGTTCCTCGGACAGAACTTTGGACCAGTTCCACCGAAGTTCGCAGCCCAGCAAACTTTGCGCAGCGCGCAAAGTTGCTCCAGCTCTCAAGCGACTGCCGAGTTCCCAGAGTGCTATGCGCCGTTGACTCACGGCGCCTTCAACTCCCAGGAGGCTCCGCGCCCTGCTCCCGCAATTCCCAATGGGCTCCGCGTCTTCGCTCAGGCCCCGCCCCCGTCTGGCCTGAGACTACAAATGGACTCTCAGGGGACGCCACTGCCAGTCCTCTGCTCCAGCGTCGCAGAGGTAGTTGTGGCCTGTGCCGGCTACGGAGGCCGGCAGGGGGCGGCGGCGGAGGCCGTTACTTAGGGTTCAGAGGCGGGGCCGCGGGTTCCAGGCGCTGCAAGCCGGCGGGCCACGACTGGGCCGTGACGAGGTGCGGGCCGAGGCCATGGGCGACCGCGGAGGCGCGGGTGGCTCTCGGCGTCGGAGGAATGGCTCGCGGGTCTCCGTCCAGAGTGGTGGCGGGCCCGTGGCAGCCGAAGACGAGGTGCGAGACGCGGCTGTGGGCCCCGACTTGGGCGCCGGGGGTGACGCGCCAGCTCGGGCTCCAGCTCCAACCCCGACCCCGGACAAAGACAGAGACGCCAACGTGGGCGACGGCCACTGGGAGCTGAGGTAGCAGAGCGCCTGACCCCTACATCTGATCTCCCCAGCGACGTTCCCAGTTCTTAAAAGGTGGCCACAGCTTTGCGAGTCCCGAGTCTGGGGGTCCCCTTGGGCTACACGGGGACATAGCCTTGGGGAAGAGGGTCACTTGCCAAGGTCACCCAGGTGGGGTCGAGTAGCCAACCAGGGAGTCCGGAC